ATTTTCTTTAAATATATTTAGAAAACTAGAGAGTAGTGTGATTTCATGTCGTACTCTTATATGTTTAGATGTTTCTGTCGGTGAGACATTTGGTATCTGGATTTCGTTTTCTAATATCGAGATATAACTATATATTATCGCAAAAACTTCATTGGTGAATATGGAGTTTGCTCTTTGTGAGTTATGATATTGGATGCTTTTTATATATTCTGAGAATACTTTTGAGAATTCTAAATCAAGGTCGTCTGTTTGAATTATATATTTACTGTGATTCTGGTTTGGTGAGCTGAATTCTATGGAGTAGATTCCGTATTGTTGTGTTAGGTTACATATATCTTTTAGATAGTGATCGATAATTTGTCTTTTGATTTTTACATCTGGGAACTCTGTTTTACATGGACTGATTCCGGGTTCAAACAAATTTAAGAGTAAATTTTTGCAGAATATATGCTGTCCTCTATCAGTGGTTGCATCTACGAGAAAGGGGAAAATATCATCATCATCTGGACTTTCTTCACCTGGGGTGTGCGTTGAGCTCATTTTTTTGTTCGATGACTGTTAATATGTAATTATCAATGTGTCTAATTGGTTGATTCCAATTGTATAAATGTACTGGTTTGTGTTTATACTGCTTTTTTATTCTTCTTTTACCTCTTTTTGATGAATTTGAAGTTGTTTCTGAGTCAGAGAAATATAATTGATCGTGAATTGGGCAATTTTTATCTATTGATTCTTTTAGTTTATAAAGTTCGTCTAAACTGTTGGTTTCTGATTCTGAAAATGCGTTTCGATTTTTTGAAAATCTTTTTCGTGTTATTTGTCTTTGTTTAGTTATTATTTTTCTCTTTAATGTTTGTCGTTTTGTTCTAATGTATCCAACTGTTTGTGTATGAGGTGTGATTACAAGGTCGTATTTTTTATTATCTATTTCACAATTGTGTAAAACGATTGTTTGTTTATTTCCTAGGTTTTTAAATGACATAAGGTTTAGGATGACGGATGCAAAAGGTTGTTAAATGATTTCAATTTGCTTAAACTGTTAGTCCTTACGATTTTTTTGTTAGCCTAACCTGGGTCTATTTGTTCAGGGTTGGGGAGAAAAGTATATCGATTCCGAAGAATGATTTTATACTTTCTCGTGGATAGTATAAGCTAAGGTGTTAACTTACTTAATCTTACTTAAGGGTAGTTATTGTGTTCAGGGTTGGAGAATAGTAAATCGATCCACAAGGTTCAGGTATAATTAGAACGCGAGTAGTTCGTTAGATACTATTTTAAACTTACTAAGTTTAAGATTTATCCTGGGTCTGGTAAGAGGGGGGATCAAGTGAAGGATGAATAACCGAAGTTCTTCACTGTTTATCCTAATTTGAATGATTAGTTTTGTTCAAAAATTTCTATTAGTCCTGGGTTTTTAGAAAGGGTTGGATAGTGAATCGACGTTTGAGGTCGTTAGACACTAGTTAAGTGGGTGGGGGAGAACAAAGTTGTTCTTTTTAATCCAAGGATAGGCCTTGATGATCAAGTTTTAAATTTAATTAAATAGAAAATGATTTAAGATCCAAGGATAAGCCTTGATGATCTGATTTTAAAATTAAGTGAAATTAAGTTTAAAATGTTTTAAATTTGTGTAAAGAATAGATTTAGTATTTTTATGATATTAGTGAGCTTATGAATGCTGTTATGTTTAGGCGATGAAGCTGGAACAACAGGATGATTTATAATTACTAACCGTTTATTGTCATGCTACTAATTTTTATTTTGATTTTTCAATAAATATTTTTCAAACATGTTTTGTATATTACTGCAGAATTTAGAAAAACGATCTGAGATCTTTTTATCAATCGTTATTGTATATTAATAATTTTGTTTAGCACCTGAAATGATTTTGAAGATTGACTTCAAAATTTTATGTTTGCAAATGAAAATCTAAATTCATTGCTAGTAGTATTCTAAATACAAAAGTTTGTTCTGGCTTTTGCCGAACTATCATATAACTATATGGTAAGTTTCTGCTTTGTCGTATGTCGTCTCTGGTTCGAGGTCTTCTTCCAATTCCGGGTAGTTCTGTTATCGTTCGGAATATTGGCTCTGATCTATTGAGTCGTAGAGACATTTCGATTAAATTATTGTCGTAAAACATTTTGTAAATGTTTTGTCTAAATTCTAATCTATTATTGGTTAATTCTAAGCTATTAAGGTCTTGTTCGAGACTTATGGTCGCACCAGATGAGTTAGGACCGATGGGTATAACTCATAGAGTAATTTCGGATAGGGTACACCGTCTGCTCGTCACGCTATCTTATTTTCGGCCGGATAGGTTCGTGCAACTTCTTAGTCTAATACCGATCCTAATCTTACTCTTATACTGTCTAGTCTCAGGTTGTTTAACTAGTCTCTGCTAGGCTCAATAGATCTAGGGTATACTGGTTTATTGCGGCTGCTGAAGTACTCGGGAGAGTTCAACTAATTTCTAAGTTAAATTCAAATCTCTCTGGTGCTGAAATTACAAGTAATTTCAGCACTTACAAATAAGTGGATTGTTAGTTAGATGGATCATGATTGGTTAATATTAAATACTTTACATTGGTAAAATATCTAATTTATCCAATCATAAAATGTAGTTTAGATCAGGTTCCAGTATTTTGCGGCCAACTGTCACTCGCAATGAATTTTCGTCTCTTGCCAGAAAAATGACCGGAAAATCTCGAAACTAATTGCTGATTGGAACAATCAAAAACTGTGCAACTGCCCTGTAAAATTTATTGATAATTTTCTTTCTAAAAAATAGACAATTTTTCAAAAAAAATTAATACAAAGCGTTAGCTGTTTCAAAACAGAACAAAAATTGAACTTTGAAGAAAAAATGTCAGATCCACTTAACAATCTCCCCCCCCCTATCGTACCTACTAAAGAATCTCCCCCCTTTCTTAAAAAAAGGGGGGATGGAGATTGTTAAGTAGATCCAAAATGTCTTTATACGTAAATTATATTTAGAAAAAAAAGACCGCATCTCCAGTTGTTTTCCAATTTTCTCCGCGTTTTTTTTTTTACTCTAGGAAAGGAAATCTTGATGGAAACTTTTGGCAAATTGTTGATGGGGACAATTTTTCAGATTTTATGTAAAAGAGTATTATCTTATGTTGCAAGCCAAAAAAATTGATGAGCAGACTTAATCAAAATTTTAGGCATACAAAATCAGATTTGCTTCGATATGTATAGTAGTCATAAAAAGCAATAAAATATGTTAAAAAATTCGTATCCATTTTTGGCTACAGCAATGCATATGTGGAATTTTGATTTCACCCAATCGGAAAAATGAAACGGCACACTTTATTTTAGGTTGAATGGAGGCAACCTAGCAAAAATTTTGTTTTCAAATTAAGTTTTACGAAAAAAAAAAAACTTTCTCAATGCTATGTCGTTTCTACCTAGGTAGATTTTGTTTGTCAAATAAATTTGCCGAAGACTAAACTCAGATATTTTACAGGGTAATTGGAATTTTCAAAGCTTTGTTGTAGATCGCGGCGGTGTATCGAATAGCATAAAGCTCGACTAGCATAAAATGTTTAAAGTTGAAATAGGATATGGGGGGGGGGGGGGGGAATAGTTAACAAGGTACAAAATTCGCTTATGCTTATCTGTTCCATTCTTTCTCTTTAAGGGGTTATTCGTTACAAGGTACCATAGGGGGAGTTAGCAAGATCCTTGAAAAATGTATCGACTAGCATAAAAATCCAAACAGAAAATTCAAGCAAGTCCCTTGCTCTCGCAAGTGAAACAAATACCGACAAAACTAAACCCATAAACGCAAAGTATGGATCAACAAAACAGTTCCAAAATCTCATTAACTATATCCCCCCTCCAAGTGACGTACCGTAGACCAGGGGCGGATTTAGGGGGGGGCGGGGGTTGCGGACGCCCCCCTTCTCAGGGATTCGAACCCCTGCCGACCCAAAGGGTCCCCCCTTTGATACTTTTTCAGAAATCCATTTTTGGCGGACCGACCCTAAAATTTTTCTAAAGGCGCCTTTGGCGCCAATATATACTAACTTTGAGGGGGAGCGCGCGCCAAAAAAACGCAATTTTTTTGTCAAAATTTTTCAAAAAGTGCCCAAAAACGGCTTTTTTGACTGTTTTTTCTAAAATTTGCCTGCGGCGCAGAAAATTTTGCCAAAATAGGGGCAAAACAGTGCTTTGGGAGATCTCGAAAAATCAATTTGGTCGACCTAAAAAAAAAAAAAGGTCGTCAAAATTTTGGAAAATTTTTGGAAAATCCGCCCCCCCTCGAGAAAATCCTAGATCCGCCCCTGCCGTAGACTATCCCCCTTAGCCACGTTGTAATTTTGAAAATTATTTCGGTGTAAAATATGCATTTCGGACAAACTTTCTAATTAATTTTGATCAAATTCACATCCTCCTCCCTCCCCAAAAACTTTCGAATTTTCGGCCAAAAGCGCTGCATTTTACTTGCAGCGTTTTGTAATTTTAATTTACATTGATAGCTGGTGTGGAGGATCTTAACTTGGTCTATATGGGGTGCGGAGAGTGTTAATTTGATCGATAAAATTTGTTTAATCCGCCCCTATAAAGAAATACTTTAAATTAGATTTCTGTTGAGAAATCAAAATCATTCTTGTGAGAGAATTGTTGTGGGGGGAGGGGGTGGGCGTACGATTGTTAAGTTGATCCATTTAATTTGCTAGTTGATTGCTTAATTTCTCATTTGCTCAAAGTTTTTTTCTCAGAAATGCAAATTTGGGTCAATTTGAACAGCTTATTATTGTTGTTTTGTATTTCTGAGCAAAAAAAAGCTATCAAATTTATGCTAGTCGACACATTTTCATGTTTTCAAACTTTTATGCTAGTCGAGAAATATGCTAGTCGAGCAGTCACCAAAATTTTTTTAGTCCATCAGTGACAATGATTTTAGAGAATTGACTCTTAGACAAACCTTTCGCCATTACTGAATTATCCTAAGAACTAAAAATATATTTTAGAACGAGGAAACAACTTGCGTGGTAAGAGGGTATCCAGTTTAAGAGGCAAAAGAATCAGCAACTTGAGGGGGAAAAGGATGAGCAATTTACGTGGCAAGCGAATGGAGGAAAGGAATACTCTATTCGAGACGATTCAAAACACGATTGAAATATAAATTCATGGAGAATTACACCCTTCCGTATGTGAAAACTTTCAACTCGGAATGAACAGGAAATTTATTTCAATTTTTGTTCAGCTGAAAAATTTGATCATCCTCAGTCAGAAAAACATGAGAAGCTTGTTTAATTATTTTTTCAATTACACTCATGAATTGAATATTACTTTAAGAGAAATTTCAAATATTTGAGAAAAACTGTGGTAAAATTTTTGTTAATTCACGATTTTGTTTTTCAAAAAATAATTTGCAAAGAGTTAATTTCTCTTCTATCTTGAAATTTGTTGGACCAAAATTGCGAAAATATTCGGCTACGAAAATTTATTTCCTTATTCTGTTTATTGGTTTTTTTAATCCTCAAATTCAAATTGCACCAAAGGTTTTAATATATAAGATTTCAAGTGCATCAAGGAGTTTATTTAAAGAAACGTTTACTTGTCACACGGGAACGATGGCCACTTTTGGAATATGAGTTCATTTATTTTCTCCTAAAATTTTCCCAGTAAAAAAAGTTGTTTGCCTGCGTCATCTTGCGTACTGGATGCTAAACCGCCTCTGTAAGACAATAAAAGTCAAGATAGACATTATTATTGATGGCTTCCTGATAATTAAAACGCAACAGAATGGCTTCAATTGCGAAAAAAAACTCAGCTGACGAAACGCAGAAAGCACTGACATTAAAAACGAAAACAAGAAAACAATGAAATGAGGACGGAAAATTCTATTAATTAATTATTCGGTAGTTACTAATTGTTTTACTCTATCAAATATAGCAGACAAAAAATTGACAAGAACTATCAATCAAAGAAGGAGAGCTAGCAATACCAATCCGGTCGATTTTATCAAAACATAAAGCGCAGAGAGTTTTGCAGCGTGAACGTAGCCGGAGATGGGGGCTTTGGACATTTTTTTAGAGGTTCCATGACATTCTACTTATCACTTTACACTTTTCAATCGATTAAAATTAGCACTTCAAAAGATCATGTTATCGATGCGTCAAATCGAAATAGCATAGGTTTGTGGTTGGTATGTTTAGTAGAAGATGCATATGGTAGAAAAGTAGAGAATAGATTGAAAAACGGTTTTTTCTAGTGCTACACAATTTTTGGTCAGCAGTATTTTCTAAGAATTTCTGTCAAAAACTCTAGTTTTCTGAAAAAAAATCATATCTTGTTGGATTTTTTTGCATATTTGAAAATTACAATTATTTTGATATTTTTTGAAAATTTTTTAATAAAAAGTCTCTACTCGGCATGCATTTAGAGGTTAATTTTTATTCCGAGGACTAAAACTATGAAGAACTTTTGTCATCGGATAGGTTTTTTTGTCAAATTTTTTCCAAGCAAATCAGTCACTAAAAAATCATTGTAATCATTGGAATATCAAATAATAAAGCGAGCATGCAGGCTTAAAAAAGGCTAATAGAAAAAACTTATAATTAAAGTTAGACCGCGAAAACAGATTAACTCCAGAAAAGTGAGTTTTCAGTGTTTCTTTTAGCAGCTTCTTCGGGAAAAATTGATTAAAAATTTTTTTTGTTTTTTTTTTGAAGAGAACTTCTGTTGAATCAACCGAATTTGCTATTTTTACTGATTACTTCAGTTTAGGTGAATATTTAGCTTTGGTATAGGTCCACCAATCCCAAATGAAAAAAAAACACATTCAAAAAAATTTGTTTTGGTTTTAACTTTTTTGTCTAAGCTTCCTGTGCTGCTGGCACAGCAAATCACTATCCTTGTTAAGCTTGCCAGTTGATCGCAATGTCTTAAACATAAAAAAATTGCTGTTTTCAAGTTTTTAATTTGAAAAGAATTTTCAAATGAATCTGGTTTTCATAATCTACTTCACCAAATGACTGTATATTGTAGTTTTCCCTTTGAACTGGGGTTTCTCATCTGGTTTTCGTTGAAACATAGTCTCTTCGTGTTTTACTCTAGTATCTTCTGGAAGCCTCGTTTTATACATTTGTCCGGGCCACATTTTTCGCTCATCATAGAATCCGTGATAGGAAATGCCAGGCTGCTTTTTCCCACTTCTTTTACTGATTTTTAGGAAGTCTTTGTATGAGATCCAATTGTCGATTTTGGACGAGACAAAAGAAGGTCCAGTTGATAACTTCATCGGTTCGATCTCTTTCCGCGGTCGGTGTTTTGGGTACAGGCAGGCCGGATTAGAAGCATTCTTCGCATTGGGCTTGAAAACTAAAAAAGCGATACTTACTTTGCGTTTAAGTTACATATTCAAAAACGTGCATAAACTCATAAGCTAATGGTTTTGGCATTGGGTTTGAAAAACAAAACGCAAAAAAATAAGTGAAGTCATAAAGCAGCTAAAGTTTTTCATTAGATGTAGCAAATATTTTAGAAAAGCACTGATATTTATACTTTTAAACAAAAATATGGAGTTGAAAAATTGTTCATTCGTGTCATTTTAATCATTCCTAATCAAACTATTTATATTTGAATTTTAAAGAAACCGGAAAAAAATATTCTAACGGCAATTTTTTTAGCTCATAAATGAGACCTGTCTCTTAGTTTTACAAAGAGCTTCAATCAATATTATCAATTTTTACCCTCTCGAAACAATGCTTTTATTTTAACTATCAAAATTGGGATCAATTAAATTTCATCTATTTCTTTTGAGTTGGAAAGGACGCATTTGAAATACATCATTCATAACAAGTACACAAAAAATCATTGTAGAAACGAACGTCAACTGAATAAAGTGCCATACGAACTGAGTTATCATTATTCATCATTATTCAATTTCACAAAGGGAAAAGCTAATTCAAGAAATTGATTAATTTTCATTTCCATCTAAAAACTGATGAGTGTGAAATATTTATTTGAATGACATCTAAATGAAATGAATAAAATTACCTTTTTATGTAAAAATAGACGATATCACAATTTTTTTCGCTTCCACTTGATTGATAAAAAAATCTATTATTTTTCACAAGCAGAATTCGAACTCCGAGCAACCAATATATTTAAAACATTAACTGATGGTTCGTCAGTTTTTCCGATTTAACTGTATCAACGCAAAACCCTGAATGTTTCGACTGCCCGTCAACGTTCTGTTCTGATGAAAACAGTTTTTATTTATAAAAATAACTAAATGTTCGAAAAAAATTTTTTTTTCTAAATTCATTTTGTTCTCCCTTTTACTTCCAAACACTTAAGTGAAAGGTGACGTGCTAAAACAGACACGTACTTAGCAACTTATACCAATGAATATCGGTCTGAAATTGAATCCTTAAATAATGAAAAAAAATGCTCTTCCTCCTAGCAATCCGGTCAAAAAACAAAGTAATTGTTATGTTTTCGCCCACAGTTCTAAAAAAGGCCGTTCTTTAGTGTCATATTGCATGAGGTTAAAAGCCTAGATCTTTTTTTAGATTTCAGATCTGCTGATGAAGCATAACTGAAGGTAGCATTTACGATCTTCTGCAAATTCTTAGAAATTCGAAAATTTTTGCCATGATTGGTACAGGATAAATCACAATCAATTATCTCCTCAAAAAGATAGGCAGTCACAAATTAAAACGTGTTTACCATACTAGGGATTTTAAAACTGAATCAGGACTGAGGTAAATGTTTTAAAGGACAATTTTTTGAAGAAAATCCCACATAAATTTACTGCAGTTTGACCCACAGCTTCATACAAACTTCACATTGCCTTTTTAGGAAATAAAAGGGAAAATAAACCGAATTGGTAGTGAAAACAAGAATTGCCAGTTGCTGTGGTTGCAAGTAGCACAAAAATTGCGAAATTATCTGTCCTTTTTTCACTTAAAGTATCGTAGAAATTTCATATGAAATAAAATTAACTAAACTTATCTCTGCAAAATTATATTTTTTCTTCATGTTTTTGAATTCATTTTTTACATATTTTTTTGCAATTTTTGCAAGTTCTTTTTTTTTCAACTTATATTTCATTTGAAACGTTATCTAATCTTCAAAACGTTGGTTTTACAGCTAAAAACTAATTTTTTTTGAGATTTAACAATCATATTTTTTTTGCAATATTTGCTGGCCCTGAATATTAGACTGTATTTTAGATTGTGTGTTTAGGACTGTACAATGATGTCTTTAAGCTCGGTTTATTTTTGTTAAGAAAAAAGAACAATTATTAACGAAAGATTATTGTGAACAGATTTTATTGGTTCTGTTTTTCAATTATTTCGTTTGAAAATTATCCCATATCACAGCCGATAGGCAAAACGATTAATTTACTTCGCTTCTATTAACACGTGACTTGGATCAAAATGCCTGTTTCAACATAAATTGAAACAAGACTGCTCGTATCAGGGCAAAGTCCTGAATAATCTGACTCTCTTTTAAGGTCATGGAGCAAAAATAACATGAAAAAATTAAATGTAATGAAAAAAATGAAATACAAATGAAATACAAATGAGATACAAATGAGATTGTATCTTTGAGATACAAATGAAATACAAAGTGATTTCGCTCCTGGTATTATATCAATTATGGCAAATGAGATTTCTTCAACCAATTTAGAACAATTGCTAAGACGGATTAAGTCTCCGCTTACGCTTTAATAGCGCGAGATACATCGCACGTTAATTGTCAAAAATTGGCCAAAATGGAATTCTTCAAATTGAAGCTCAGCACAACACTACCTTTCGAATGATATAAAAAAAACTCCGTTAAAATGACCAGTTAAAAAATCGAAATTTGTTCTGAAGAAAAAAACCCACCCGAGCATAAATATTCCGTTACTTTCGTTACAAAAATCGGAACAATAAATTATGGGCTGAAATATTTTGTCGCTTGTGCTACGCCTTAGTTAAAAATTAGAAGGCTTACTCATTCTAGTAATTCCAAACTGGACAAAATAGTGTCAAACTCAAACTCCCATAACATCAAGAAAACTAATCACGGATGCAATATCTATCAAATTTTGAATTCATGGCATCCAAGGCTTAATTAAATTTTCAGCATTGATTTAAAAATTTACAAACCAACTCAACAATCTAAAAATTTTATCGCTTTCTCAAAAACCGGAATCAACATTTTTTTTGAAAATATGGAACTGAGTCTGAAGACTGGTATTGTTTTCACGATTCTTTTCCTTTTCTTTTGAAAAATATATCTCCAAGTATTAAAAATTTTGAAAGTATATGCATTTGGTATGAAAACCAGCCAAACTTTTAAGACTTTCTTCTTCAAAAAGATTTTAAGCCGCGGACTAATATTTTTGAGGCAAAAAAATATGTTTCATTTAATTTAACTTTTTAAAGTTGTCTCATCGGAATTTTTTGCTTATTGACAGAACTTTACTGAGCCAAAAGCAGGATTTATTGCAGAAAATGAGCACTCGCTTTTATGACAATTTTTAATTTATTAAATCGATCGAAAATTTTCTGGGGTGAATTTTAGTAGTGGCATCAAGAATACCATCTAAAAGTTGAAACGGTTTGCTACAAAATTAGATAATTTTTAAAAAATTATGCTCAGTTTAGAGTTCAGAAAAGAAATTCCAACCGATTTGGAGAGAATTCGGAAAAAACAGAAGTTTTTTGTACTTATTTCACAGCAATAATCTTAATAAATAAAGTTAAAGCTCAATTAAAAGTTGTAAATTTTTTCTTTACTCAAATTTAAAAAACTAGCTGCTAAGATGGAAACAACAAAATCTCATATGAATTTTGATTTTGATTTTGTATTATTGTCAGTGCCTAACTTAAGCTAAACTGCAGTCTCTTTTCATTTTTAGGGGAAAAAAAGCAATGCATTTTATGTTGATAAGCTTCATATATGAGAAAATTAAAGCGCCTAAATTCAAAAGTTTTACAGTTTTCTAAGTTTTTAGAACCAAAAAAGGAAGTCAATTTTCTCGCGTAGGCTCGTCTAAAAGCTTTCAACGAGTTAAAGAGTAGATTTTTCAGATATACGAAAAGGAACCAAAACGGTAATCGAGTCTATTTAATTGTCAAGAAAAGAGTTCCTAATTGAACTTTCAACCATACAATTTGAAATGTCACCCCGAACTATTTGCTATTCTTGGTAGTTATTTTGTGAACTCATTACGAAAGGTAAATTTAGTAGAATGACGGACGTTTCACTAAAAAGATCATTGAGGTTTTTAAATTAGAAAAAAAAACTTTTTGTTTTAATTGTCTCCTTTGGTTTCAAACTTCTTCACGCTTTTTGTGATAGACATTTTCCTTTAAGAAAATAATGACGCTGACTGAATTAAAAATATATACGCCTCAATATGGTGCGTGCACAAAGAATTCGTTTTTCTAGTCCCATCAGGTATTGGTAAAAGCTACGGCGTAGGGTGTGCTATATTTCTTCCCAGTTTCAAAAAGGAAATCTTGTGGTGAACTAAGTGTGGTATCATTTCAGCCGTGATTTGAATTTAAAAAAATAGTCTACAAAAGTAATTTCATCGTCGTTTAATTGCCATTTCTCAAAGTTGGATTGCACAGAACTCATTTTTGATGACACTCGATGTGAGTTATAATTTCTACACATTTTTGCCTATTTTATTTGCCATTTACATGAAAAAAAAAAGAAAAAAAAAAGATTTGAAAAAAAAAAAGAAAAAGTAAACAAACAACTTTTTTTTGTTTTTAAACTATTTTATGTTACTTTCCTTCAGTTTTGATTTTTCTGGCATCTTTTTGCTTGGCAAGAACAGTGTTTTTGCCTAGCAACGAGTATCCTTGTTTTTTAAAAAATAAAGTTAACTTCTGAACAATTGATTTTCTGTTATTTGAAATTAAGAACAAGACTCCATTGAGTTTGATTTACACCCAGTAATTCATAAGTCGAGTAAAAAATTTTTTACTGCTCAATAGCACTATTTTAGCATGGTTGAAATAAGATGCAAGTCAAGTTTTAAAGCACAGTTTTCCTGGCTTTATTTATTAACCCTCTCACTTCATCTAGAAGAAAATTGAAATTCGAAAAAAAAACAAAAAAAATGATTTTGATTTTAAAATTTAAGAATTCGCCATTAAAGATTACCATTGTCTAGTTTTCACTGATACTTACCCTACTGGGCACGCAGTAGACCTATATGTAATTATCTTTTGATTGTAGATTGAAAAACGAAAACTTTCATAAAAAATCCTGATTATTTATAACGGAAATTATTTAAGTATCTAATTATCATTTTCCAAGTACGGAATTTCGTTTCGAACTTTTGTATCGGCCTGTCACGAGTATTATTGTTTTTTATCTGGTCGTATTTTCATAATTTTGTTTTTCATGATTTTTGCCGCTAATTTATAAAGGAAAAATAGAAAAACAGTCAGATTGTTGGGAGAAACTACGATTTTAAGTCTCAAAAAATCAACCTAATTTCGCAACAGAGGGTTGCAGAGTGTTTAATGAGCATAAATTTTACCTGTTCTCAAAAGTTATGTTTCGTAAAGATAGTTTTCAAAGTTTTAGAGACGTGTATTCGGAAGGCCATCATTTGGAGCAAAATAGTAAAATAATCATAATTTTTAAAATCCTCTAGAAAAAACTATCATCTTGTAATTTCTCTAGTTATTTTTCAATTTAAAAAATTGATTTTCAGCCATAACTTAATTGTCGGACCAATAAATCTAAAAATAGCCGGCAAGCAAAAATATCTAAAAAAATGAATTACCGCTTTATTTTAAACTTTAGGTTTGAAAGCTAATGAAAAAATTCCGAAAAAAAGCGTTAATGAATACTAATTTTCACATGAAAAACGAAGATCACAGGCAATGGTTCAAAGTTAATTCCCACTAATTTGCAATTTTGTTGAAATTTTTTGAAACCAGAAACAGAAAACGCAGAAAACAAAACAGAACTAGAAATGGTTTGAAAAGATTTGAGAAAACTTACTTTTATAATCAATCGAATCCAAATCTGAGCTGGCCGTTGACACTGTGTCGTCATCAGCTTCCGCACCCTGGAGTTCACCTTGACCTTGAGCTTGACCTTTTGTATCCTTGTTGAGGTTATTGGCGAAACTGAACAGAGCGTTGGTTAGGTTAGATACTGCCATGTATTCCAGTAACCTTTCGTCTTCATCCTCTTCGTCGTCTTCATCAGTCTTAAAAGTATATTTTTAGAAACTGCGCCTCAAGGTTGTTTTTCTTAACCTGGTTTATTCATAAAGTTTTCACTTTCCATCATCAAATTTAACCTCAAACGGGACGTGTTAAAAACCTCGATACAAATGTACCAAATTTAGGCGCTTAGAATAATTTTGAATAAATATATTTTTGATTTTTAGCAATGTAAACAGCTTTCAGAACCAGTATTTTTTATAATTAAGAAAAAGAGCAAATAGCTTTGTCAGAAATCAGATGCAATTTCTTTTTCAAGTTATTAGATTTTGATTAAATTGTTTTCACATAGAGTTTATTATACCTCTTTTTTCTTGGCAATTTCTCCTCTCGGGAAGTCTACAGCGATGCCCGGAACTCGCACTTTGTCCTTGACCGTCAGTCGGAGGTCAGCTGGATGCAAAAGAGCTCTCTTCAAGGTTTTCTCTGCAGCAAAACATGAATCAAAATACTCCAACATCAAATCTTGAAATTTTTGATTTTGAGACTTTAAAGAATCCTAGAATAGATCAAAATATCTGCAGACTCAAAACTGAATAAGCATAAAACAATTTGATAACCCTGAATGTGAGCTCAGCCATGTAATGAAAAAGATAATTAATTCAAAATTAATTTTTTTGGGAAATTTAAACTACCTTTCAATGAGTGAAAGATGTATCAGGTCAAGTTCTTACTCCAGATAATTTTCTCTTGCAATTTGAAAAAACTCATCATGTACATGCCACGATAACCGCAAAGTTCACAAATAAGTTTTTGTCAAAAATTTAAATCCTGATCTAAAATAGCTTAGAGGAACCACTTTTTGACCAGAAGAAAACTCGATTATATTGTTTCAAATTCATATCTAATAAAGCTATCTTCACACAATTTATTTTATTCTATGTAATGAATATAACTGTATGATTATAGGAGATATAGACACTTTCCCCATACTAGGAGAGACTTAGCATAAAAATAAGGCGTTTGCTTTGAGATCTTCAAATAGCGTAACCGATCCTCAGCCATGGCAATGATAGTGTGCGAGGACGAGCTCTCACTTGACCTATAATTTCAATTCTAACACAGCCTGACCATTTCGCCTGCATTTGTGGTACCATGTGAAACTTCTAGATGCAAAAAAAAACGGCCATGAGTAGTAAAAAGAGGGCTTCGCTCTACAAAAAACTCAGTCTAAAATGTGAAGAAGTAAGAGAAACGGCCTGTGCGTAGACATGCTGAATACCCGCATTTAAGAAAAAAAGTCGATTATATTGGAATTTCGTGGTCTATAAAGTTGCAAATATAATCGATTCCCATGTTACGTTCAGACAACCAAATTGGACTTAGAATCGATTTAAATCCATTTTTTCTCGCCAAAACAAAATGCATTATAATTCATTTGGAATCCATTATAATGGATTTTATAATAAGTAAGAAATCACATTAAAATGGATTTTTTCCACTTTATTTTTGTTCCAAGCGTCGTGCAAAGTTTTGCAAGAATTTCTGCATTTATCAAGTGAGTTATGCGGAAACTTAACAAAGCGATTGTAAGGCCTAGCCCATTTTGAAACCTAAACTAAATTTGCAAAAAGATTCTGTCAAGTTCTCCCCCCCTAACCTTTGCATTTTTGCTCCCCTTCAATCTCCCTAAAGTTTGCCCCATTGCTCCTCTCCCCCACTCAAACGCTGGGGGGAGGGTAATGGAAGAGGATTATTCCACCTCCAACTTTACCCCCCCCCCCCCCCAACATTTCTAATAGTTTAGTAAAATTGTTAAAAGGAACAAAATTCAGTTTTTGAGGAACATAAAAAGCAACAAAAATATCAAAGTTAGATAGAAAAAAATTAAATTGAACAACAAGTAACCAACGTAACCAACTTAAGTTTAAAACGTAGAAAAGACTTTATGTGTGTTGAAATTCGTTATCTCAGTAAAATGGAAAAAAAAATCGATTGTAATTTTGTTTCGTTGTCAGTGTCCACAAAAGTGAAGAAAAACATCGATTATAATGGATGAAAAAAGGATTTTTTGCCTCGAAGTAGTAATATTATAATCCATTTTTAATCGATTATAATCGATTTGTTTTCACTTCCGTGGACACTGACAACGAAACTCAATTATAATCGATTTTTAATCATGGAACTCCAATACGGGTAGCCTTTCATAAATTCTCTGTGAATTGCAGAAATCCTTGTTACTAGCTTTTTCTAAAATGGAATTGTATGATAAGCATTTTTGGTCAATCTGAGTTTCTTTTTAACGTTTTTTGCCCATTCCGCAAATATGTATTGATAAAACTGAAAATGGGCTGTAACTACGGAATCCACTGATAAATTCTGGAATCCAGAAATTAGTTGGTGAAGTTTGCTTCAAGTGGAAAAACGAGTACTCTCGTGGAAAAGCAAGTTTTGAAATTAAATAGTGTTTCTGAAATTCTAATTTCTGCTCGATAGCCAAAACCCTCATAGTGTTTAATCATTGGTCTTACGATTCCAATCTGGAAAAGGACTGCCCGCCTCGATTCGATTAAACCGTGTTCAATTGTAAGACTCCTTCTGCCTATTTATTGAGATGAGTGGACAAAAGCAAATATTCCCGCCGTGATATTCGTTCGAAGAACACTGTATAAATTGAACAATTCTTCTCAAAGTTGTCGGAAAAACTTGAAATTTGTTTTTTTTTCCTGTTCCATGACAATTGCTTAGCAGAAATTCCTTAAGCTGAAAGCTATTCCCGATAGGATGGGTTAAGTGGAAGTTTCGGAAAACTACGGTGTCGCCATGTCAATTTTTAAGTAGAAATTGCATCTGTCTGGTGTTTTCTGTTGATTTTAACCCATTAATGATTGGACTCTGGAGTAAAAAAAATCGATTCGGATATCCAAAAAACTGTCGACTGGATAAGAATAACATTATCTCTATATCTATACTCCCCCTCCAACTTTAATTTCTTGATTTTCCCACCTGTGAGGGGGATGCCCTTCTGTTCGCACAACTTGACACACTTCTCATACTCCATCCAGGTCAGCTGTCTGAACTGTTGTCTCCTCTCATGTATAATCAAGGGATCCCATCTGGTGCAGAAGGCCATGTGACTGTCCACTTCAGGGTCACCACTACGCACCATTAGTGGTACCTGAATTTAGAATGACGTCACTATTAAGAGTGTTACGTAACAATATCTAAAAACTTTCCTAAAATATCGGAAAGAGAAAAATCAGAAGCTCCTGGAACTAGTTCACTCGAATTGTATGAGGATCAGTAATCATTTTTACACAAGCTGGTATTGTGGTCCCATGAAAGGTACCTAGATTTGTCAATCTCAAGAGTGTTGCGTGAGTATGAAGCCACTAATTTGGTGTCATTTTTATTAAAAAGAAACAAAATTGAATGCTGAATAAAAAAAAACAATGTTTTCCAAACTATAATTCTAATCAACCTATTTTAATATCTTTTTCAAAAAATTACACCTTAAATTTATTGGTTTTCTTGGTGTCGTGCAGAGGTACCTATGTATCTCTTGCCTCGGGTAAACATATTTCAACAACAGCAGATGTGATATTTTAAAAGACATTTAAAAGGCACTGTAGACTTGCAGAAACTATTGACAAACATCAATTATACCAAAAACAGCAAAAATGAAAAAATTAACTGGTAAAATGCAAAATCTTGCTTTTTAGTGTGAATGGAAAGCAAACCTGGCATGAATTTTGCAATATGAAGAGAAATCTTGGAAAACTGTTGCAAAATGTGAGGTGATTATATTGCTTGCAAGATTAGCATTCCATCTACAACCCGGGTTGATCAAAAATGCTACTCATACAATTTCATATATGGAAAAATGCTAATCATATTGCTTCTGAAAAAATACTTCCATGCATTCCATAGGTACAGAAAACTGTATGGAAGGTCTTTGATTGCTGATTTTTATATGGATATTGCATGCCTAGCCTTGTTCTTTAAACCAAACAATATGATTTTTTTTGTTTAGTTTTTCTCGAAATTTGTGGGTTGTATTGGTAGCCGAGCACAAAAGACAAAGACATTGGTTTAATCAAAACAAAACTCATCAACAATTTGACCGTGTTGTCTTTACGGTGCCTTGCAAACGACCTGAATTGTTTTAAAGTTGTCTTATACAAATGATAAGATGAAAGTATCAAACTTTTAAATGTTAGCAAAAAATTTCAGAGCCGATCATTTTCAAAAATTGAATTTTAATTAATCAGAAATTGATCAAGACTTACGCAAAAGAATCATACAAAAAATTGACGTTTTGAGCGTTTTTAAGAAAAAAATTTCTGAAAAACGGAAGAAAAAGCAACTTTTGCGTATCCATGACTACGCTATGCACGCAAAATAACAGATTTAGCATGAGAAAAAAAAATGTTCTTCGCAAATAAAACAAAAACACTTTTTGTGAAAATTTCTGAACTACTTAATTAACTACTTAGTTTTTTGTTCTTATAAAAATTTACCTTACTTATTCGAAATTTAAAAGTAAAAAAGTATAGCTTCTCTTAACTCCGTCATTCAAACTAACTTTTCTCTTCGGGACTTTTTTAAAAATCTTGACAATTGACCAAAAAAATGTTCAGCCTTTGAAAAAACGTCCAAAGATTTGGCAGTGTTCCACGATTTTTTATATTCATAATATGGAGGCAAAAATTTCCGACGGAAGATAGACTGGGAAAGTTTGTTGGAGTACTTTTGTTTATCCTCTTGTCTTAACAGTCTCATAAAAAATCGTGTAAAGCAATTTTCTGCATCGATTCTTTGAAAAACTGCGTATGCGAGCTATTGTTTTTCTGGTCAAAAATTATATGCAGTTTTTTTGTGGATGAGCGTTGTTGCCTAACCCTTGAGCGGCGAGTAGTTTCAGAATGGAACATTTTTTTTCCCTTTCAATTCATCCTATATTTGAAAACTAAAAACAAAATTGACATAGGCTATCTAATCAAAAAAGACAAATTCTAAATTTTTTAGGGGAATTACTAATTTTGTGTATGAAAAAAAATGTTCATCGTGCAAGTTTTATATAAATTTCTGAAAATATGAAATTATAGGAGCCTGTAATAAAAACTTTTTTTTTCTATATAAGAAAAGCATGACTATCAATTTTGGTACACGCCGCCTATTGCAAATGAAAGGCGCATCCAAGTTACAAAATTCAAAAAAGCATAACTGTTTAGTTATTTGCTTCCAGGAAGTTTGGCATTTTCACAAGGTACTACAGAAGTAAATCATTTTTAGGAGATTTTTACCGCGGTTGACTTCGCAATAACTCCAAGGGAGTCTGCGTACTTAATACTTTCAAAAATTAGTTACCTCGGTACTTCTGAAACTTAAAACAAACTGACAGCTTTTGTTTTGATTGAATCTCTTCAGAATAGCCTTCTACTTTTGTTATTGAGACTTAAAACTTACCCGTTTTTTTCTTCAGCATAAAGGGAAGACTAGGATCTCAAAAAGTTGTAGCAGGAAAACAGTAATGTTTTTTTTCAGAACTAAGTTTCTCTAAACAGATATGATGTTCCATAAAAAATGGACAGTGTTCTCCTTTAACATAAAACTGTGTTCACTCGGGTGATCTCAATAGATTGAAAACGATTATCACATGCTTTGCATCATCCCTTGCATTATCGTATGCATTATCACATAACTTTATTCACAATATCACATACCTTGCCATTGAAAAAATGTTCAAGAAAAAAATCACAAATCTTCAAAATAAGCGTAACTGAGCTAAAAATGAATTTTTCTTGTCGTTTTTTAAAAAGTTGGGTGTATTGTCAAAAACTAGGATTAATAGAAAAAATATTTAAAAAATCAAATTTTTGTTTGTCATACAGTTTCCATTCCAAAAGGGACCAAAAGAGTATTTTATCATCGTTTTGAAAAGCAGAACAAATTTTGGACCCAAAAAACAAAACAAAATATTTTTTTTGTTCATGAAGTATTCTTGGGAACACGAGAAGCGTATTTGTTTTTAGATAATTTTTTAAAAAGCGCTCCAAAGTTTTTTGTGGCCTATTTTTTTTTATAAGCCCTCTGCACTGAAAAATTGATCCCAATTTTTTATTTGGAAAAAGAAACATCCGTTTTCAGTCAAAGATTTTGATTTTGGTATTTTTAATATGCTGTTTGCACATTTTAATAAGGCTGGTCTCAATGCGTCTTAATGACTCGGCAACTTTAGGGTTTTGAAGATTCAGAGTCTACAAACAATACAAAATTGAACAAAGAGATAGAATCTTTTTTAGGCAAATCGCACTTCTCAAACATTTTCAGGCAAATTTATATTCTTAGTGAATTTTAAATTGCTATAACTTTTTCATAAATTACATGACTAAAACTTTGGTTATCTGGGTCATTTTTTATAGCAATTGTCTCAAAGCCGAAGGTTTTATTTATCGATTCACCAGTTTTCAGTTACAAGAATGCGCCAATTTTTTTATACGAAGTTTGAATTTTAGCAAAAAAACTAAGTTAGCTTAATAACTTTTGACAAATGTTGTCATTGAGAAAAACAACGTCATATCTGTATTGATAAGAAAAAAAACGTCATATTCTCATAAAATAGCAAAATGACGTTTTAATGATTTTAGCTTAAAGGATAAAAATAATTAACCGGATATAGAATTACTAAAACATAATTTTGTTCACCAACAACATTGATACCTTATTACGTCAATTTTTCAATTCAAATGTTAAAAGAAAATCACAATATCTTCATTGAAACCTCCCGAAGCATTTCTTTGTTTTAAACAAAACCAATTAATATTCGGTTTTCTGATGAAATACTTTAGGATTACCTTTTATCAATTTTTGTAGATGATCTTGACATTTTTGCATGTACTGTTAACACTTTTAGAGGTCATGAAAACTAAATCAAAAATTTTACATTTTGAAAGGTCTCAGTATATATGTTTGATCTTTCTTTTTAGTTTATTTTTTTATTTGATGTCTGTTTGGTATTTAATATAGATTGAAGTATGTTAATGGTCATGCTCAGATAAAAAACAAGAAAACTCGTATCAAATTTAAGACTGAACTTTGACTGGTCCAATTTATCGCGTCCAGAAAATTCGGTCAAAGACAATTCAGACAATTGAGATAAAAGTATGCAGACAATTCAGCCAAAGACACTTAAGCCAATAAAAGTGACAACCGCAGTCGCGCCAACGTGTTGCGAGCTTGCCAACAGAGGGTAGGACTCTATACAAAAATCAGAGCCGTTTATTGCTGCGAAGCGGCGACGCGCGCATAGCGCGCCCACCGGCGACCTTAAACCGAGAAATAACTCCAGTTCCGGTTTTTTCTTTCGTATCTAGCGTTTTGTAAAACTGACTGAATTGTCTCAGGCTGAATTGTCCGTATATTTCTGGCTGATTTGTCTGAATTTCAAATTGGCTGAGATGTCTTTGCGCCCCAATTTATACTTTTGATGAGCACAATTTTCGTCGAAACATTTTTTTGGTAATTTTTCTCTTAACGCCCAGATGCGTATTAGGTATTATAAGAAATTTGCAACTTTGACTGCGATGATATAGGCGCCAAGTTTTAGCGTGGATTTTATAGTTCTTAAATGTGTTGACTAAAAAAAAATCAATGAGTGCGCAAAACAGTTTTGATGACACCCGGGTTGACCTCCATACAAAAAAATGATTATCATACAATTCCATGTATGGGTTCTATGGAAAACTGATTATCATAAGATTTGCATTTATGAAAATTGTATGATAAGCGTTTTTTTCTTTGAGTTTTTTTTTCAGGAAAACCTTTAAAAAAATTTTGGTAAAACTAAATGAGCTTGGTTAGATCAAATTCGCCCAATTTTTTTTGAAACAAAAAAACGTTGATCATACGATTTGAATTATTCATTATCCATTCTATGAAAATATTATAATAAGCATTTTTTCGATAAACAATTTTTTTGTTCTAAACGTTTGTGAAAAGGCATTTAGGAAAATCAAATGAGCCTAATTGGGATTTTTTTGAATAATTCAAATTGTTTTGCTCATCCAAGTTCTTGATTATATTGTTGGACGAGAATTAATTTTCATACGACTTCCATCTTATGAAAATGGTATAATAAACATTTTTTTTTCTTAATCAACTTTTTTTGTTTAAAAAACTTTCAAAAAATCCTTTAGGAATCACCAAGAGGAACTCAACCATATCATTTTTTCAAAATCTGATAAAATTCGTTGAGAAATGGTCTTTTTTCTCCTAGCAGTCAGACTAGCTATTATCAATAATTTTTTCTTTTATGACTGATATGTCTTAGAGTACTTTTCGCATTGATTTAGTTGCAGTTTCATTTAAAAGATTGTAAGCTGAGGTTTCCAAAACATTCCCGTTTTTTCAAAAACCAATTTGAAAACTTGTTTCAGACTATCCAAAGTATTTGCGAATTTGACTTTTGTTCTATACACATTTATCTTTAAAGCTTAGAAAAACTTTTTGCTCAGTAAAAAAAGCTAATTACGCAATATTGACCATGAGGGTTTGGGCATGACAGCTAAGTCTATAAAAGCTTAGATGGCCAAATTTTTTGATAAAAGAAACTGTTTTTCTTGAATTATGTTTTTTAATTCATCGCTTTCTCTTTTCATTTCAGCATAGCAAGAAAACTTCTCCTACTGAAAATTGTTTTTTTTTTCGTCTGAAATTGCGTCTAATAGCAAGGTTATGATTGCCAAATTTGCGAGTTTTTGATTGCCAATATTGCGCTTAAAATTTTTTTTTTTATTCAGTAAAACTAAATTTTCAGGGCTTAAGGCAAACTTAAATAAGCGATTGCAATTACTAACTACCTTATAATTGGCTGAAATTTACCACAAAATCAAAAATTTCAAGACTGTTTTGAAATTTTTTTAAAGTCGTTCGAATCACGACTCAAATGAATTAAATATAATATATCACACAACCCTGTTCGATGATTATTTTTCGTAGCTGATTTTGCTTAGGAAACAAAAAAAACTAAAACACACCCTAATTCAAAGTTTCTCCCCACTTACAATGGTCTGAACAACGACATTTCAAATGACCAACAAGTTTTATGGGGGGGGGGGGGCAAAAGAAGATTTCAGATATCTTCCTCAATTTTCAAGCTGCTTATCATTTGCATAATTGCTCTCCGGCTGTCGGAGAAAAGACGGATTATTTTCGTGCGCTCTTTCCGTTTTCTTTTCTGACAAATTCAAGTTTTAATTGTGCTTTTTGAAAATTTTTTGTCAGAATTATAAGTTTTAATACATGTAGCTGAAACTCAACATTGCATCTCACTTGCTTAGGTTTTTGTCAAGTTGACATTCTGAAATCAATTTTTGGTATATTTCTGGCAATATGGGAGAGCAAAAATTTCATTTTTCTATGAATGACCAATTATTATGGCCCAGCAATCAATTTTATAATGCATAGAAGCAAGCTGGTTGGTCCAGATTTTGGACTATCAAATGCAAAAGTGACATCTTGTTTGACCTTTCGTTTGAGGCGAACCTTTTGAAAAAAAAACTTGAAGTTTTTAAAAACCATATCTAGATAAAACTCGGGAATAAACATCGGGGCTTTGTCTACAACGAGCGTCATGTTTAGTGTTACGGATATTTGGTAATGAGGCGTATTTCCGATCGGATCTACCCGCACCAAAGTTTCTCGGATAAAAAAATTTATATCTTCTTCAGTTTTATTTATTGTAGCTCAAAGAACAGACAGACCAAACAACCGACAGTGCGTAAGTCCGATTGGACGAAATTTCCTAAGTTAAAAATAAGCTATTAAATTGTGCAGGTTGCTCCTACGAGGTCAAATTGCTGAAAAATATTTCTCCTCATTTAACTTCTCAAACGAAATGTCAAAAACGAAATGTTCTCTGGCATTTCTTAGTGCAAAATTTGATCCAATTAGCTAGTGTCAATTCTTTGTAAATAGTTATTCAGACGCATTAAATCGTTGTTTACAGGTTTTTTCGTCTTTTTAATTAGCAGTTTTGTAGTTTAATAGTTTCAAACATTGTTTTCCTGCAGTTACTTACTTATCAATATTTTTGTTTCCTTTTCGTACAAGAGGCCATGTCAAATATAATGGATGCCTTTACTCGTCACACAAGGTTTATAGTTCAACTTTTGTCGACAGTTTTTGAATCACCATTGTACCAGTTTTCACTGAACGCGCAGCATGTGCGGCAAATCAAATTCTTGTTAATTGACTAGGGAAAATTAATAACCCTGCAATAACCCTGCAATTAATAATTAAACAATTTAATACTAGATATAAACATATCACTTTACAATTGACATTACGAGTGGAGGGTAGACTTAACAATCGTTTTTTTTTTTCGAAAAATTAAGTTCTTTGATGAATTGTTCTTCCAACAAACTACTGCGGATAGTTTAAAGTATTCATGGCTTCCAACAAACTACTGCGGATAGTTTAAAGTATTCATGGCTTCCCTTTGATATGAGTAAAAAAATTTCCGGAGATTTATCTATTCACTTTTCGGATGACATCTGCATTTTTGGTAAAATGTTATTGGAACTTCAAGCTTACGGACCTTTGAACTATCTAAACTTTGAAACATCGGAAATTGAACTTACGGGTTCTAGCATCCGTGGATTTTTCTGTCTTTCTTTATTTAAACGAGTGTGGTACTGGAGTCGCTTCGCCTTGTCAAAGAACATCTCGTCGTCAAACTCAATCGCCTCATTTGTGTCGATCGGCGGAGTTTCCAGTCGAGTTGTCGCGAAGGACCCGGTGGCACCGCTATGCAAGCTTCGACCAGACTGGCTGGATTTTGGAAGAGGTGGTATATTTGCACCTAAAAACGTTTAGATAAAAATTGAATTTTCGGGAGATAAAAACTTGCATTTTCTTAAGCTTTCCAAAAAATCCGAAAGTCCGAAGCAACAGACAGTTCACATAGTTTTGTACCACAACAAACTAAACTGACTGAATTTAAAGTTAAATACTTAGTCATACGCAGATGTTTGTGGGAATTTTCTTTTGGGGGAAAGATACATTGCGCAAACGTTCTCAACCAATCGAAACCCGTTGAACTGTCCAAAGCTTTCCAAAACTGTCCAAAACTGGCGCAACTGAGTTAGAACCGATGTGGTTAACTCATAGAGTAATTTCGGATAGGGTACACCGTCTGTTCGTCACGCTATCTTATTTTCGGCCGGATAGATTCGTGCAACTTCTTAGTCTAATACCGATCCTAATCTTACTCTTATACTATCTAGTCTCAGGTTGTTTAACTAGTCTCTGCTAGGCTCAATAGATCTAGGGTATACTGGTTTTTTGCGGCTGCTGAAGTTCTCTTGGAGAGGCAACTAATTTCTAAGTTAAATTCAAATCTCTCTGGTGCTGAAATTACAAGTAATTTCAGCACTTACAAATAAGTGGGTTGTTAGTTAGATGGATCATGATTGGTTAATATTAAATACTTTACAGTGGTAAAATATCTAATTTATCCAATCATAAAATGTAGTTTAGATCAGGTTCCACCCATCCGGGTTTTACAGAGTTTTTTAGAATTGTCTTTCTGCAATTCAAAGGATGGATGATGGACGTTGGTGTTTGGCGAACATCATATTTCTTCTGGGTTCTCTTGTTAGAGAAGTTCCAGGATCAATCGTTGTGTCTCCTTATGACAACGACTGGGTTTTCTCAACAAACTCAAATCTGATTTCAGAATGGTTGGCTATGACAGGTTTTTCTGTTTCATGTAGAGAACTTCTTTTGTGTTCAACCTCGTCTGGGAATGGCGTGGAGATTGTACGTGGAGGGGATGCCTTGTTACTCGGATCGGTACGTATACTTGAACATCGAGGTGGTCATTGGTCTAGTTCAATGAAGTCCTTTTCTGCGAAGTCAAGTCGTACTCTAAATCCTTTGAGTTGTGATTGTGGACGGCATATCGGTTGTGGTTGGCCATTCTTTTTCGAGTGTAGTGGGGTTATTTTGTCTTTGGATGTTCGTCTTTGGTGTTGTATGCTGATCTATATACTGCAAGGTATAATTTAAATTTTATAAAAAATTTTATTAGTTCGGTGTTTTAATTATGATTTTGGTTAGTTGTTTTCACAAAAGTTTTTTGTTTTAGTTCGGTTATTTTGAAGAGTTACTCACCCTTGAGTACCTCTTATTAAAAATAGAAGTGTGGTCACAAAGCGTGGATGTAGCGCGGTGGGTTAGGCCGGCTATAGAGCATGCTCAGGACGTCCTCTCTGGTGGGTTAGGCCAGGAGTGGGAGTATGATTTTGTGCGGTTTCTGTGAGAGGTCCTGTTATGTGATAACGTTTTATGTTGGGTTTATTGTGGTTTTTCTTATGTTTCGTTGGTTGTGTAATTTTTTCAAAAATCAAATTGTTTTTGGTATGGGTTTGTCTTTCGACTTTTTTTTTGTTTTATTATTTCTTTCTTAGACTTTATAATAGTCTTCAAAAGAATAAATTATCCAGTTTTAAACTGGGTTATTCCGGTTTGGGTACCGTTGGTTTCCTTTTCTTAGTCATGCTGTTATTCTATGATTTGTGGTGTTTAGTAAGCTGCGTTGGTTAGTTTTGTTTAGTATATAATTCCTTTCCAACCGGGTTAAAGGAAAGTTTGAAACTTGTTATCTTGTGTTAGAGTTGTTGAGTGTGAAAACTTGAAACTGAAATTCATTATTTAAACAATTCTTCGTGGGCGAGCTGTGCGAGTTTGGATAGAATTCTTGTGCGAGTGAATGGAAATATCAAAAGGTTAGTACTGCATTTTCGTCTTATCAATTTACTACATAGAATTTCAATTTTACTGCTAGTTTTTGGGGAAAAATTAAGTTACAAGTTTTCATCTTTACTAAACTTACTGCTTTTGGGGAAACAATTTATAAATTAATTTACTACATTGGTATGAATTTTATTGAATTTATCTAGTGTAAAATATTAATAGACTTTTGAAGAATTTGAAGAAGTTTTCTATATTTTATTTTTCTTTTGTGTATTTTGCAGATGATCGTGGGATGAAGACTAAAAATCTAAAAAAGACATGAATAAAGAATGGTTAGGATTTATTTCAAATTTATTAGTGAAAAATATGTATAAATTATACTTACCTGTTAGTCGTCGGGGAAAAAACCGTGGGGGAAGATGTTTTGTGTATTATGTCGGAATTTGTTAGTAATTTTGCTAGTATGCGAATGATGTTTTTAGTTTGAAGCAGTGGCCAAAGCAATTGAAGTGCTTTAATAGTTTTTAGTTCGTCAGTGCCAACTGCAAACTCATAAGGTGTGTTTTGGATGAGATTATATAATTTGTGATTGTATTTTGTGTTGTGTATGAATTCTAATATCGGGATTTCTATAGGTTGAATAAATTCATGTGGGATAAGGAAGGGTCTGGATTCTTCTGCGTTGAAGGTCTTCGTGATGGGACAAAAAATATACATTTGGGTTATGGGATCATAATTGCGAAGAATACCGTGAAGGTTAGTATCTTTGATGCAATATGTGAAGTTAAGAAAAAATGGTGAAGTGTATTTAGAGTTAATAAACTGAAAACGGTGGTGTGGTTGTCTTGATGGAGTGTGCAGGTCAAAATGATTTTGTATGAAGCGATAGTATGTATACGTGTGGGTTTGTTTAGTGCGTAACATAATGTCGTGTGAGCAGTGCAAATCGCGTTAATGTGGTGCAAGGAAATTGAAGGTTAGTGAAAATAATTGAAATCTTTCTTTAAAACTTTCGTAAGCTTGCAAGTCGGTTAGTGCTTCAGAAATGACGTGGTCGAATTTGCGATCAAATATATTGTGTGTAAATACATATGGTGTTTTGATGAAGAATTTTTCTGTGATTTGTGGGTTAGCGAAGCGATCATCATCTAAAAATTGGTCTTGGTTAGCTCGGATGATGTTATGATCGTAATATTCTAGCGTATATTCGTTAGCTCGGGGTGCAGTGTATGTTTTTAGTGACTTTTTATATCCTATATAAGTAAATTGTCTATGTGTTAGTGGTGTGGTGAGTCGATATAGCATATCTTGATTTCTTTCTATATCGATGTGAGTATTAGATAAAGGTAGGCAAAGGGGATTAGTAAAATGATAATATGATGTCCAATGAAGTGTAGGCATTAAAACATGTTCATCTACAAAACTACGTGTGTCGTTAGTGTCGTTAGGGGTGTTCAAAGTATACTGTGGAAATGAAGGTAAGGTGATTGCTAAAACATCTTTCGTGTTAGTGTGATTTGGATGATTAATATATTCACGGGCTGTTCCTGGTTTTGTTGGAAATGGATGGTTTGGGAATTTTCTTTTGAAAGTGCGATAAGCTCTATTAGTGCTATTTGATGATTCGGTGGGTGTGGATGATGGTGCTAATGATGCGGTATAAGCTGAAGAGGGGATAGGGGTAGGTGGGTTTGATGATTCTATTGTGGATGAAATCTGATTTATAGTGGGGGTGTCAAGGTGGAAGGGTTGTTGTTGTAGGGTGATAAAATTATCTAGTTCTTGGGAGATTTGGGGAGTATCTGGAGAATTGGATGATCGGTCTGAATGAAATGAAGAGTAGGCTGGGGTGACTTGTGAAGCATAAGAGGGTGTAGAAATGGATGGGAGTGGGTTATTTGGTGGGATTGGTTGAAAAGGGGGTTTTGAAAAAACTGAGGAGTTGGTTTGAAAATTATTGGATGGAGATGGTTCAGAGTCTGCAAATTCATCAGGGGTTTCAATATTAGGGTTATTGAGTTGTGAAATGGAGTATAAAACTGAGATATGTGAATTAGTGTCTGAATTCATGCCTGATGTTATATTACTGGTTGGAAATCGGGTGGCGGGAAAGCAAAAAGTGGAATTATTGTAATTGGAGTGTTGAGGTTGGGTGGATGGGAATTTGAGCGGTGTAGGGATCCAAGTTGTCGGCTCATCGTGGGCTAAAAAAATTATTATTTTGAGACTGAAAAGCGGTGGTATGGGGTTGTTCTATAAATTGTTCATATGTATTTTCATCTAGTGAATGATGTGTCATTATATGTTGAATGGGACTTTGTGATATGGTTGGTCTAAAATTTGGATTATGTGTTATTGCTGAATTTCGAAAATTTCGTGGGACTAGGGATAATGGATGATTATGTGGTAGGGATGGTAACTGTGGTGCCGTAGGCGTTACTTCTACATTGTTATGTGCTTCGTCGTATGTGTTCTGTCTTGTTGCTATTTTCGTGTTTTATTCTTTTATTTGTGCGTCTAAAAGAATTTTGTTTATTGATGATGAAAAATTTCCAAAAAATCCTGCAAATAGTATGCGTGCTACACTTGCTTGTCTATTTACTTGTGTGTGTATAGCGCATGTATTATAGATTCCTTTTAAAAGTGAAAAAGGAAATCCTATAAAGTTAAACATTGCGTATAAAATAGTTAATTTTTCTAAGATGTAATAGGGCCATCCTAGAAAATCAAGAATTTCATTTTTTAGTGTAACAAAGTTAAAAATATTTATAGGTGAGATATCTTGTGGTCGGTATTTTTCACCGTTTAGATATATATAGTCTTTAATGTCTTTAAAATATCCGCTATAATCTTGTGTATAGATATCTGCAAATCCTGCGGTTTCGGCAAGTTTGCGTAAGTTTTGGTCAATTGATTGTCTTTGTATAGTGTCCATTTGTGTTAATAATTCTTGGAATTGTTTTGTTCTAATGTGATGTTGGATATCGGATTTTGAATATATTCCAATTGATTGTAGGTCAATATTTGGGTTTTGAGCAATAGCTCTAATGCTTTCAGGTGAAAATTTTTTGAGTGATTGCATTAATGTGGGGTATGGGGTAAAAA